GACGTCTCCACGTGCTCCACGTGAGTCTCGAAAAATGCTCACCCCGTCACTTGAATCGCGTTTCTTAGGCGAACGTTAAAGAGTGGTGTTGAGGAAAGTGTGTCAACTTTTAAGTGTTTTAGGTGTTTGTTGTAAATCACCTTTTATTTTTTTTACCCGCTTTCGACTTACATCAAAGAAAACGTGTCACCTTGGCAGTGACTTTCATGAATGGGCTTTTTTTAGTCTTTAGATCCTGTTGGTAACTTTGAGACCCGCATACAAAGACCCAGAAAGATTAAACAGAGCGATTTGTTTTTAGCCCGTTTTAACCGCGGTCAGACAAAAGTGAAAGAGCTATAGTGTTCTAAGTTCTTCTTACCTTTTTTGGTGTTGACCAGTCTATAACAAATAAATTTATAAATACTAAATCAAAGAATGTTTCGAGCCACGAAGAGCAGGTCGCGCTCTAGTTTTCTTTCCGGCTTCCGGTTGGCTACTGAATGCTGAGTGCAGAAATATCACAACTCACAACATTGAACAATCAACACAGGGCGAACAGACGTTAGGCTGGCCGTTGCTGCTACTGCTTGAGTGGGAGTTAGTAGTAGACGGCCTGGCTTCAAACTAAACATTGGTGTACTACTAGCATTTCCCGTAAGTCGTAGGGATACTATGAAGTCCTAAAGTACAGTGTTTGTTGTACTTTTTGTAAGAGCAAGCTTACTTTTTGTGCGCAAAAAAACCCAAGTCTGCTGTCTGGGAGACTCTCTACTAGACTAGGCTAATCTAGGCAGCAGGCCCTACTCATTCATGTGATGGGGCCGAAATTGGCTGATCGACTGAGTCTAAGACATAAGTCAGTCTAGACTTTAGAATCTAGATCTATAATCTAGATCTAGATCTAGACAGATTTGAGAGAGCAGAGATCTAATTTAAAATTACGCAGTGGCTATTTTTACGGCGATCCTCTCATGTACGCGACATGCCTCAAAGTATTAGATCTAGGCCTATAGGGGCCATTCAAAATATAAAGTTACACCTCAGAGGGGAAAGGGTGTCTTTGGCTTCTACTGTAAGAAAAGTGTAAGATTGGGTGGGGAGGTTAACCAAATATGACACTTCTGTGAGATGAACGTTTTGCTCATGACTGGGAAGATATGACACTTCTGTGAGATGAACGTTTTGCTCATGACTGGGAAGAAAAGGTGAAAGAAAAAGTGGATAAATGCCAGTTAACAAGACCCAGATCTGCATGATCACTGCAGATCCCCGTTGTTGTTTTTTTTTTTTTGGGGGGGGGGGGGGGGTTTACAAATAATTTTGAAATTATGATGAAAATTCTGTTGGTGGACATCTATTTTCTTAATATGTTTCTTTGTAACTTTGCAACTGTTTTGTTGATCTTTTAATGTCTTGATGTCTTTTATTTGTAAGGTACGTACCTATTGCATTGACAACAGTCTCAATCTTCCACATATATGCATTTCTTTTTAGTCCATATGGTTTGATTAAATTGTATTAACTGAAATTATATTTTTTTTACAAGCTAGATCTAGTTAAAAAAGCCACGTATAGTACAGGTATCTTTAAAATAATAATGGAAGTTGAAGATCGGAAAAAGTACTAATATTAAATTGGTGTAGGTGGGGGTTGGATGCAAATTAAAGAAGTCCCCAAAAGTGTAAGATTATATTTGAACAGCCCCATAGGTTTTCCATTTCCTCCTCTTCACCGTCATTCTATTCTCTTCTTCATCTTCCTTCTCCCTTCCTCCACCACCACCTCTTCCTTCTTCTCCCCACCATCATCATTCACCCTCTCTTTATCATCACCACCACCATCACCTCCTCATCACTATCATTACCATCATCACTGCCACTGCCAGCATCATCATCTCATTCACTGACATCACTACATGTACCACACCCACAAGAAGAGCGGCCATTTTGGAGTTAACACTTTTCGCCTTGGGAATGCCTTTAAAATGTTCCTCCTTCCTTATAATTTGCACTGAGCAGATTTTTGATAGAGGTGTAAAATTTTTTCTTTTTTTGTGTTCACAATGATGAATTTATTAATTATTGTGATTCAATTTCAGGGTACAGGAACACATATATTTTTTTACATTCAAATATCAAAATTTTGCTCAGTACGATTGACCATAGTATCTGTATCTACCATTCCACCAATTTTCATGCAATTTTGTTAGAGAGTAAGAAGCCTTCAGTTTTTTTAAATTATTGTTTGTTTTGCATGTTGGTGGTGTTTTCATTCCATGGCAACTTTCATATTTTCCGACTTATCAAAATTTACTTTCTTCATTATTTCTTATGCCCGTATAATTTTTTTTCCTAAATATGAATCGGAAAAAGAATCACCCTTGGGGTGAGCTGTTCCCCGTAAAAATGGACAGTAATAATATGAGCACATCAGAAAACAAAACACAAAAACTTTAAAAATGCGATCTATTTTATTATTTGAAAGAATCCCACAACAACAAGGTCCTAGTAAAGAACATAAAAACATTGAATTGTTTAAGTACAGAATAAAGACTATAATTATGATAATACTAATAATAGAGGATATTTAATTATAGTGCCTTACTCTCGGTTTTAACCAACTCAAAGTATGTTACATTAGTTTAGTCATTTAGTAAAATGTAGTATAAAATAACAAATAAGGTAGTAGCCTACAAGGCCTACAAGCCAAGGCGGAATTTATAAGACTGAAAAACGTGTTCTACGTCATCAGTTTGTGACCGCCGTAAAAAGAACATTTCAGTTAATAGGCCTACAATTTAATCAAACCATATGGACTTGAAAGAACGCATATATGTGGAAGACATTGAGACTGTTGTCAATGCAATAGGTACGTGCCTTACAAAAAAACAAACAAAAAAACCCAACAACAACAACAACGGGGATCTGCAGTGATCATGCACATCTGGGTCTTGTTACTGGCATTTATCCACTTTTTCTTTTACCTTTTCTTCCCAGTCATGAGCAAAACGTTCATCTCACCTCCCCACCCAATCTTACACTTTTCTTACAGAAGCCAAAGACACCCTTTCCCCTCTGAGGTGTAAGTTTATATTTTGAACGGCCCCTCCTATAGGCCTAGATCTAATACATTGAGGCATGTCACGTACATGAGAGGCGGAGTAGGGTCGCTTTTCGAGGATCGCCGTAAAAATAGCCTGGGACTCACTGAGAGGCTATCTTTACGGCACGCCGTAAAAAATAGCCTGGGAGGCTATTTTTACGGCTCGCCATAAAAATAGCCACTGCGTTAAAATTATTTAGTCGTAAGCTACAGACTACAGGCTAACCCTAACCCTACTTAGCCCTAACATACATGACCACAGGCTTGGGGCCAGTAACTTATAGATCTAGATCTAGTGCGAAAAAGAAATCTGTCGATTTAGATTATAGGTCTACACTTACTCCCCCGACTATTTAATAACAACAATATAATTAATTATTTACACAACATGACTCACAGATCGCCATGAATGCTTCTATTACAGTATATGATCATAGATAGAATCTAGTTTAAAGGCATTAATTAGTTTCATGGTATGGAAGGGGATAGATATATAGGAACATAGACTGAAATAAGTGTCCATTAGAGCTGATCATTTGGTGTAGCCTGTACAAATAGAATTAATTTGTATCATAAATAATATAATTTAAGTCAATGATGCTTCGTTTTTCAAAACCTTCGTTTGTACTATAGAGGTCATGATCTGACATAAGAATTTATATCGCTGTGTTTTATTTTACTGTCAAGTAACAGTTCGCTTGTGGTTTGCGATGTGCGGGTGCTCTGGTGTGGTTTGCTCCTTCTTTCCTATAAAAAATCTATCGTCTCTATCTCCCCTCCTTCTTTTTTGTGTGTTTGCTACTCTCTAGCACCTCTAATCTTTGGCTCTTATATGACCTTATTGTGTTGCAAGTGCCATAAAACACTTACTAAAACTAAAGTTTGCGATGTGTTCACCAGGTGATTGTTCCTGTACTGCCGCGCCATGGCAATCGCTCGCCCCCCTGGGATGGACTTTGACCACAACTGGCCTGAGAGCACGGAATGCCTCACGCTGGATTTTGGACCATTCGAGACTGTGCACATGTGGAAGCCCATGCCGGAGTGTGATGAGTTTGTTGGGGCACGGTGAGCTACTGTCACTTTACCACACAAATTAGGATTCCCCCCCCCCCCCCCCCCCCCCCCCCCGGGCGCTGCCACTGACTGAAGTTGTCTTTAGACCATTCCCAAAGGGGGATGTTCTTTTGCACTTTAGAATTGTAAACGGGCTGATTTATCGATGTCATGCTCATACTGTGCCGGAACAACATATATGGGGCGAAGTGCTGCTTTTTCTTTCTTATTCCTTACTATCGTCATTTTCCTCTACTTTTTTTGTTTGTTTGTCACTCTCTTCTTGTGACATTTGCTTTTGAACGAAAAAGTGCGAAAGGGTTCTTGAAATGACTAAGTTTTCGTTTTTCAATGTGTTCCCACGGACAGAGTTTCTCCATGCAAGCACCGCCAGTGAGCTAACCACAGGAGTGACCAACAGAAACTCAGTTGACTAATTATGCAAGTGTCTCAACGTACGATGGAAACATTTTCAGTTGACTAATTATGCAAGTGTCTCAACGTACGATGGAAACATTTTCAGTTGACTAATTATGCAAGTGTCCAGTTGACTAATTATATTATGCAAGTGTCCCAACAAGCTATGGAAACAAATTCAGTTAACTAATTATGCAAGTATCAAGTTAACTAATTATGCAAGTGTCGCCACAAACAATGCAAACATTACCAGTTCACTAATTATCATGCCAGTGTCCCAACATACAATATAAACAAATTCAGTTCACTAATTGTGCAAGTGTCCCAACAAAGGAAACGCTTTATTTTGAATTATACTAAAGCTTTGCCCTGACACATTATACCAGAGCTTGAAGAGAGCATTGTACAGTATAGCAACATGTTTTTGATCTCATCTGCACAATTTACCAAGTGGCACATGTAACGTTAGGCAATGGCTTGGGATGAATACATGTACGTATGTTATATATATATATGGTCCTTTGTGAGGTTAGGCTATGGCTTGGGATGAATATATGTACATATGTTATATATATATGGTCCTTTGTGAGGTTAGGCTATGGCTTGGGATGAATATATGTACATATGTTATATATGTATGGTCCCTTGTGAGGTTAGGCTATGGCTTGGGATGAATATATGTACATATGTATATATATAAAAATGTATATGGTCCGTGTCATGGAAGTATAGAATATGTATAAATGTATGTATCTCTAGATGACTGCTGTGGTATCACATTTCTCATCTCTCTGACTTTCTGCAGACGAAGCAAGCACACTGTTGTGGCGTACAAAGAGGCGCTGTATGTTTTTGGCGGAGACAATGGGTAAGATGAGTGAGAGTGTCACCGAAGAATGGTCTTGTTGTTCTTGTTGCTTGTCCTGTTCTGTTGTCCTTCGATATATAGAGCAATGTAAAATGTATTTGTTGCGATAACTTTGACACACAATTGTTTTGTTGAATTGGTGACATGTTGATTAGAGTCAAAGATGATGAATTTATTATCGTGTTATATTTACCTAATACTGTTGTAATCCCTTAATAAATGGAGTCTCTCTTACAAAAGCAATGAAGTCATGGAATGAAAGATATACAGAAAGATTCTCAGATATTAAGATTAGTTTTTGCAGGTTACTTGTTTCAGCTTTGTATCAAAGTAAGAGAGTCTACAAAAGATGTACATATTATTGGTTTGGTCAAATGGGAACTCTGGGGGGAAAATATTTTATTGTAGAACAGTTTGTGAAGTGATGGAAGAAGAATGGTCTTTTCTGCTGTAAAGTACATTGATGAAAGAATAAGTAGACGGAGAAAGAAATGCTGATTTTTTTTTTTACTGATCTTGTAAAGCATGTACTGATGTATTTTTAAGCTGGCGCACACTTTTTGAGAGTTTGTGTGTATTATACGCGCTGTGCGCACTTGCACGTGTGTTCATTTAAGCTTACTTGCTTGCTTACTTGGTCGGAGAATAGGCATCACTGCAGGCGGCACAATGCCATAGCTGCTCCTCCCTCCTCTCCGGGATCCATGAAAGGGTCTGTCTGCTGATCATGCCAGTTATCAGTTAGTTGGATTTTCTGCTGGCTTTTCCATGCTGGTTGCTGTCTCTCCCTGAGCCTTTAAGCTACATGTTGTGAAAATGTGCTTCAGAAAGTGTCCGCTTGGAGAAAGGGAAATGAGATTTTTAAAACATTTCCTTTGGTTCTTGTCTCCTCCACCACTCAGCAGGTGGGTGGTTGGCGGGTGCTCTGCTGTGGTTTGTTTCTTCTTTCCTATCAAAAATCTATGTCTTTATCTCCCCTTTTTCTTTTTTATGTTTGTTACTCTCTTGTAACACCTCTAATCTTCTGGCGCTCATATGACCTTATGCAGTTGAAAGCGCCGTAAAACCTCTACTAAAACTAAAAAACTAAACGAAAAACTCCCCCACTCAGGAAGAACATGCTGAACGACCTTCTCCGCTTCGACGTGAAGGACAAGTCGTGGGGCCGGGCCTTCACCACTGGGAAGCCCCCCGCCCCGCGCTACCACCACTCGGCCGTCGTGCACGAGAGCAGCATGTTTGTCTTTGGTGAGTCTGGCCTTTGGTAAAATCTAGACAGAAATATGGGTTGTTGTTTTTTGTTTTTTTAGTAGAGGGTTTTACAGCGCTCGCAACTGCATAAGGTCATTTAAGCGCCAAGGGGTGGATGTCAACAGAGAAGTCCTTACAGGGAATCAGACTTAGACTACTCACCTCTCTAGCCTCAACAGCACAAAGTCTGCTTTGACTATCAAGGCACCCCGGAAATAGCAGGTCACAAGAGTGTGACAAACATACAAAAGAAGTAGAGGAAAGAAAAAGCAGCAGTTCCCTGTTGTAGATCAGGCACAGTTACAATTTTACTGTGCTTGAACAAGAAATGTCCCTCCTTTAGGAATGGCCTAAAGACACTACAGTCAGTGGCACTGCCCCGGGGGGTAAATATGTTTTTAAATGGCCAATCATTGATGGTCAAATGGCCATAAAAGATGTTGAGCCAAAAAACAAAAATTTAATTAAAATTGCCAAACCAGCAGAAAAATGCTGGTTTCTTTGAGTTCAGTATTTTGGTGAGCGCCTGATTTCTCCAGAATGCCACACATATAATTGCAACACACGCTGGATAGGTGTTCAGTTTGTGAAATTATCCTCCTAAGTACTTGATGAACCAAAGTGCTTTTTCTCAATGTTCTTTTTTTTTACTCAGAAGTGGAGAACAGTTTTTTAAGGCCACTTCAGGCAGATCCTATTTTTTTATTTTTCCCTCTCTTTTTTGTTTGATGTCTGTCATCTTTCTTTGTTCATCAGTGCAGTTTGTCAGTGACTGTTAATTTCTTTTGTCTCTCTTAAACCTCAAGAGAGGGAGACAACAACTTTTATTTGACGTGTCAAGAGGGAACTTTACAACGATATTTCCACAATTTCGAATTACTACATGTGTATATTCGCTCAAAGTCAAATTACTGTATAGATGGTCATGTAAATTCAGACCACTAAACTGTCATCAATAATTTCTTTATATGCCCTCAATTACCATCTTTATGCAGACGATACACAGCTGTATGGATTCACTACAACTGACAATGTACACAATCTCATAGATAGAATCGCCAGATGTATCAATGATAGAAGAAAATGGATGCTCAAGAACAAATTAAAATTAAATTAGGATATTATTTGTTTGTAGCAGTGCATACAATGAAATCGACAATTTCAGAATAAACATCAATGGCCACAAAATATCAGCCCAAACTAAAATAAAAAATTTAGGTGTGGTGCTAGATCAAGACATGTCAATGAAATCCCACGTATCCAACCTTTGTAGAAATCTATATCTCCAACTGAAGAAAATAGGGAGCATTAGAAACTATCTACTTGTTGGTGTGACCAAAACTTTAATAACATCACTTATATTGCATCTCTTTTTGTCCCCTCCCGCTTCCAATTGTTGTACCAGGTGGTTACACCGGGGACATTCACTCCAACTGTAACTTGACCAACAAGAATGACCTGTTTGAGTACAAGTTCAACACCGGGCAGTGGCTGGAGTGGAAGTTTGACTCCAGGTGGGAACAGAACTGATAGACGTGCTGGTGAAATAAGCTGACTGGCCAAGTGAATAAATGCCGTTTTCTTGGATTTCATCATTTTGACGAGCGCCTGAGTTCACCACGCTGCACGACAAATGTGTGTGTGTGCCTGAAGAAAGTACCAAAAGTCGGATTTTGATCATTTTGAACACAATGGTTTTCTAATATTTAAAATATCTCAAGTGTTTTTTTGAGATATTGTACATTTTGCAAGGTAAGGTATAAAGATATAATTTTGAGAAAATGAGCTTTTAAGTTTAATAATTTAAGAACACATACAAACTTGAAAAAAAAAACAATTCAATTGTTTCTAATGTATTTATGCATGGAAAATTCGTTTCCAATTTGGGATTAAGTTGACATCAATATCATGATTACAAAACAATGGTAAAACATAGCGGGGAAGAGAAAACTTGCTTCAAGAATAGATTTTAACACCTTTCAAAAGCAGTTTTCATTATATATTTTTTAACACCCTACCCTCAAAATAATTCAAGATCAAATATTTAGAAGTCAAATCAATAAAATATCCCTTTTAACACATTGTTAAAAAATGGAGGAACAATCATTTTTTATGGTAACCCATTTTAATCAGAAAACTGAATTTTTGTCATTATCAGCCTGTAGCTGGAAACAGTCGGTGGCGACGTTTGGTACCTTTCTTCAGGCACACACACACATGTGTCATGACTGGGGGGGAATCAGGTGCTCATCAAGTTTTGGACATTCGGGGGTTTGGTAAAGCCTGTTCATTTGTCTTCCTTTTGGTGAAAAAAATATCCATGTTGAATAGAATGCAAAATATTTGCTATTGATAGAGGTCTGGGTTGCCTGGTTTCAGAAATGAAATTAGCGAGAGTCCTTGGAAACTGAATATTTTCATTTTTTTGTGCCTTTAATCAATGTTTTCCAGGAAAATCCACACTCAAGTTTGTTTGTAAATGGACAGAAAAGGTGTTGAGCCAAAAAAAGAAAATTAGAAAAATATTGGTCGTTGTCCAAAAATTGCCGATTTCTTTTACTTCATTATTTTGACGAGTGCCTGGTTTGACTCCGATCTTCACGAATGTCTCTGTCCATAGAGACGACGTGCGGGAGCCGATGAGCGCCAAGTCTCACAGCCGCACCGTCGGCCGCTCCCAAAGGATGCCGGTGGCCAGGGCCGCCCACGGAGCGGCGGTGTACGGAGGAAAGTTGTGGATCTTTGCCGGATACGACGGGAACGCTCGCCTCAATGACATGTGGACCGTCTCTCTGCTCGGGGACATCAAGGAATGGGAGGAGGTGAGGTCCAGATTTAAAGGGTGCACCATTCACCCAGTTATTATCATGCCCAACTGTTATGTCCCCCCCCCCCCACCTGCTGTAGTATAGTTCCTGTGACGTCGACCTTGTCTATACCCCAGCTTCACCAGAGGGGAGACCCCCCCACCCCCCCACCTCCTGCAGTATAAGTTTTTTTTACCTTGACTTTGTGTTTGTATTCTGCGACATCCCCCAGCTCCACCAGAGCGGCGACATCCCCCCCACGTGCTGTAGTATAAGTTCCTATAACCTTGACCTTGTCTCTCCCCCAGCTCCACCAGAGCGGCGACATCCCCCCCTCGTGCTGTAGTATATGTTCCTATAACCTTGACCTTGTCTCTCCCCCAGCTCCACCAGAGCGGCGACATCCCCCCCACGTGCTGTAGTATATGTTCCTATAACCTTGACCTTGACCCTGTCTATTCCCCAGCTCCACCAGATCAGCGACATCCCCCCCCCCCCCCCACCTGCTGTTGTATAAGTTTTTGTGACTGTGACCTTGACCTTGTCTCTCCCCCAGCTTCACCAGAGCGGCGACATCCCCCCCACGTGCTGTAGTATACGTTCCTGTGACCTTGACCTTGTCTCTCCCCCAGCTCCACCAAAGCAGCGACATCCCCCCCCCCACCCCACCTCCTGTAGTATAAGTTTGTTGTGACTGTGACCTTGACCTTGTCTCTCCCCCAGCTCCACCAGAGCGGTGACATCCCCCCCACGTGCTGTAACTTTGCCCTGGCCGTGGCCCGGGACTGCATGTACGTCTTCTCGGGCCAGAGCGGGGCCAAGATCACCAACAACTTGTTCCAGTTCAGTTTTGAGGACAAACAGTAAGGACATAAGGACATTTTCCCGCTTTTTGGGGGGGGTTTTGGGTTTTGTTTGTTTTTGTTTGTTTTTGTTTTTTTGTTTATGAAAGTGAAATGCATGGGTGGTTGGCTGGTGCTCTGGTGTGGTTTGCTCCTTCTTTCCTATCAAACATCTATCGTCCTGATCTCCCTTTCCTTTTGTTTTGTGTTTGTTACTCTCTTGTAACACTTCTAATCTCCAGCATTTATATGACTTTATTGTGTTGCAAGTGCTGTAAAACTCTTATGAAAAAAAAAAAAGTGAAATGCATTTTTGAGTGATACAGAATTCTTTTTTCTTTTCTTAAAATTGTTTTTTTTTTTTCATTTAGTGGCATTACATATTGTTTTGGGTCTTAAATTTGTGTAGGTTTTGATCAATACCTATGTTTTGTTGAGGAAATAATGCTCCGTATTCCCAACCACACTGTGTCTGTCAACATCACCCACAACTTGTTCCTGTTCAGTTTTGAAGACAAACCACACTCTCTCTGTCAAGTGATGATCAATGTTTTATACCCTCTTTTAAAAAATTATATATATAACTGAGGAAGTAGTTTGCTTCTGCCCCGCCTACCCAGGTCATGTGAGAAGCTTCCCAGCTGAAAGGTAGAGCAGATATTTCACGTGATATCTTTTCTTCGTGAGAACCAAGCTCACATCCATTGAAATTTGAAGATGTGATGTCTTTTTTTAATGTAATGCGCATTGGGCATTTTTTAGAAAATGGAAATGCGCAGCATGAATGCTATTTATTATTATTATTGTTGTGTCACATGACACGTTGTTTGTTCTTCAACAAAAGCGACAGGAAATGAAAGAAACACAAACTTTCTCCTGTCTCGCAGATGGACCAGGATTTCCACAGAGCTCATTCTCCGCGACACGCCCCCACCACCGGAGAAAAGATACGGGCACACGATGGTGGCGTTTGACCGTCACCTGTACGTGTTTGGGGGGGCCACGGGACAGACTCTGCCCAACGAGCTGCACTGGTAAGTCGCTCGCTCACACGGTCACTTTGGAAAATCAACACAGACGTCATCGCCTTTCTCACCCTGCACCAGGGTAAAGGCCTCGGATAAACACTTTCTCACCCTGCACCAGGGTATAGGCCACAGACAAACACTTTCTCACCTTGCACCAGGGTATAGGCCACAGACAAACACTTTCTCACCCTGCACCAGGGTACAGGCCACGGACAAACACTTTCCACCTTTCTCTATTCTGGGCTAGCCTCTTGATGTAATTCCATGTCTTCCCACTTTTCTGTACATCGATTTCTGTGATTCTTCTCCAGGTTCCACGAGGTCTTCCCCTTGATCTCTTGCCCTGTGGGTTCCAATCTAAAACTTTCTTTGCTATGCAGCTGCCTGACTTCCAGAGAGTACGTCCAATCCATCGCCACCGCCTTCTTCCTACCTCATCTCTGACTGGGATCTGTCTTGTTTTCCTTTACACTTCCACATTGGTGACCCTGTCTGTCCATCTGATCCTCAGTAACTTTCTTAGACACTTGTTCAAGAAAACTTGGATTGTCTTTATGCAAGTCTGTGATGCATTCCGTGTGTCACATCCATACAACAGGACTGATCTCTAGTTGGTTGGTTGGCGGGTGCTCTGGTGTGGTTTGCTTCTTCTTTCCTATCAAACATCTATCGTCTTTATCTCCCCTCCTTCTTTTTTGTGTTTGTTACTCTCTTGTAACACCTCTAATCTTTGGCACTTATATGACCTTATTGTGTTGCAAGTGCTGTAAAACTAAAAAAGAACTGATCTCACATTTGACTTGAAGATCCTCAGCTTTGTTCAAAGCGAGATATCAGACGTAAACTCCAAGAAATGTTGAAATATTTCATGACGGTCCAGACTATGGACTGAACATGTCAGTTTTAATTTTAGGTTGTTGATATTTCAAACTGGGCTGGGCTTCGAATTTAAATCTTGTTATTGGTTTATTTATGTGGTTAAAAAAATGTGAAAAGTTTAGAATTTCATTGGTTTATAGACTCTGTGTTTAGGAATAGCCGTTTCTATCTGCTTTTTCTAGTGAACTGTAAAAGAAAATGTTGTGATATACGATGTGTGTGGGTGGTTGGCGGGTGCTCTGGTGTGGTTTGCTTCTTCTTTCCTATCAAACATCTGTCGTCCTGATCTCTCCTCTTTCTTTTTTATGTTTGTTACTCTCTTGTAACGCCTCTAATCTTCGGCACTTACATGACCTTAATGTGTTGCAAGTGCCATAGAACACCTACTAAAACTAAAGGAAAATTGTGATGTACGATGTGTGGATTTTTTCTTTTCAGTTTTGACCTGGACTCACAGACGTGGTCTATCACTGAGCCAGCTCGCCAGGGAGATGTGAGTAGATTGTGGGGGTGTGTGTGTGTGTGT